CTGATGTTTCATTTGGGTGTCGCCGTCGCGTCTTTTATAACTGTACGCCAATAGAGTTTTTTTTTATTTTGTTCAAAAATTAATATTTTTACTAAGACCCCTATCTGACATTATTACTAATATTTTCATTGTAATGTACGCGTGGTCTATATTTTTATTATACTGCTGTGGTTGGGTCAAAATGTTTATTGTTGTACATCAAAATAGGTATAATATTATCATTATAATATGTGATTATTGTAAACGAAACGTTTGGTTAGAGTCAATCATAATATTTGTTTACCACGATGTTTCACGTCCTTTATGTTTTTCACATAGTCGGCCCAGTAATAATAATATTATGTATAGCAACTGATAGCGATGTCGGAAAATAATGACAACGGTATACAATACAATACAATATATATAATATAATCAGCTATTATAATGATGTTTTCGGATGGACGTGGACATGTGTGTAATAACAAAAATACTTAAGTAATTTKAATGCAGCGTATTTTTTGTRAAAGAAAACCCAAAAATATTATGATTTTAATATTATATACCACATTGTATTATTCGCATATGGTTATATTCGAGTTCTTTTTGATTTTGATTTCTTGTTTATATTATCATATATTTCGATCGCTCAGAAGTATCATAAAAATTGACACAGTCGCACTATTGATGCGATACCTACCTATATGCGTCTGCCACTCCACGAACAATGAACTTGCGGTTGTTCAAATGGAGTCCACTGGCCACGATAGCGCCCGTTTACTACGCGTGTAAATTGTTCGGAATTTTACCGCTCAATTACACCAACTGTGGAAAAACTCCGTACATAAACACGATACACTTCATAGGGAGGAAACACGAGAACGGTAAGTTAATAAAAAACTACCGAATTATCGTATCACGACRACGATGGTGTTCTTATGAATTTAATATTTCTAAACAATTTAACGATTTGAACGGATAATAGAGCATTACGTTTATGCTTTATKATCYAAGTCACCCACCCGATTGGTATTGTAGAACTTTGGCAGTTATTAATATACGAATCTCGATTCGTTKTGTCAYCCTAACTAAAAATCATGTAATTTGTATGTATTACATAATAATATAAACTTTTATTATTATTATTTTGGACTACCGCGACTGTCAATAAGTGAGATTGTGGTTACATCGCAATATGAATAGACAAGTTTCTATCGTGTTCGGCATGGTAGTATGGTACCCTAATAAACCGATGTGAAATTATAGTTGGAAAAAGATACAACATCACTCTAACACTATGAATGTGAATTTAATCACTGTAACTTTTAATTTTATCATACTATATAATTATATTTGGCTGTTGTAAATCGTCAGACTTGTCGTTCACAGAAAACTAAATATAAACACTATATATTATAATAGAGCTGACGGTATTGAAAATAATTTTCGGTATTACGGTGTTGATTTCAATACCGGTTTGAAACGGTATATCGAAAAAGTGAAACAACGAAACGTTTCGGTATACCGAAATACCGATATGGTACAGTACTACAACAGTATACCGAAATAATACATTTTTTACTTTAATATTGTTTCACAGTATATACCTACTTTATAGTTTATTATATACTATATAACCTACATTATTACCATTGATACTAGAAAACAGCAAGCACTAGAACTTGTACTAATGTCTAATAATTATTTCATACTTCAAAAAATACTAAAGTACAGAACATAAAAAAAATATGTTCTGTTTACAGTGTAGGTGTATAAAAAGTTCACTGTAAATCATGTTAGTAAGATAACTTTAAGAAATATTCATATGTATATTTATTACAATCATAAAGTTTTATTTTATTTTATTCAGGAATTAACCAAAAAAGAAAAAGAAATTAATATAAAAATGTCGCGTCTTGCGAAAAAATAGTAATTAAAAAACGTAAAAACAGTAATTTGGGTAGGTGCACTATATGCCATTAAAAAATATACTTGGCATTCATAGATAGAAAATTAACTCTTCAGCATATTCTGGAGATAATCAGGATCGATGATCAGTAATGACATTACCAGCACAACTACACGGTTTTTACGGTATATTGTTTAGGATATTAATTTCAAAAGACCGGTTTATCGAAATACCAGTATTTACGGTATACCAAAAATATTGTCAGCCCTAGATTATAAATAAAAAAGGTTGGTTTTCCCTGCGTTGCTGACTTGCTGTGCGTATAAGCATATTATTATTATCAAGTCGGAGATATGAAGGAGAGTCCGACCGACCGACACTCCGACAACACTAAACACTAGTCGTGCACTTCTGATGTTTGATGAAGTCATTAATTCATTTTATTTCATACCGCGTTTTTTGTCAGTGATTTGTGATTTCTAAAGTGATTAGTGTCATAGTGAAATAGTTTACACTGTAATTTAATACTATAGGTAATAATATTTTTTTTGTATTCAAAAGTCAAAACTGTTGTCTTGTTTGGTGTTACTGTCGTTAACAATGGTTCAGGTAAATAAAACACCCAGTTAGTATCTACTGTTCATTCTCATATGTGCTTACAATAATAATATAATACAATATTAGTATAGTGTCWACCTAGTCAAGAGACTGAACTATTAGAATTAGGCATTTCTTATAATTCCGAATACGTCGTGACTGCTCTTTTTTGCAATTTTAGTAGCGTTACACGATGCACTTGTAATAATAATAATAAAAATAATAATWTATTTTCGCAGTCCGCGACGGATGTTTTCACGTGAGCAACAGCGGCTTGGCACTGTGGGCCGCCCAACTGGCACTACAGACGTGGGCGTTTGTCCGGATGTGTTTCTATCTGGGCCACACGCTCATGCAGCGGAAGTCGATCAACTGTTCCAGCGACAACTACTGCAGCGTGTTTGGCATGTTGCTGTCGCACACGGTCATCAGCCCGATCGTAGTGTCCCTGGTGCTGGTTCGGTTGCCCCGGTCCGTCGACGTTTTGAACATGACCACCCGGCTACTGCTTTGCTCCAGGTACCCACGTCGACGGCTGTCATCTAACACGTACGTGGTCATCTTATTTTTTGCTGTCATCGTCTTCAAGCTGGTGACCACCGTCATGAGCATACCACTACAGTACCCCGACCTCTATTACCCGTACTTTACCGCTTACATGGTGCCCATTGTGTTCATAAACCTGGTCAGTATCCTGTGCGTGGTCGCCCAACAGTCTTACGAGGACATCAACAGGTCAGATCAGATTTTGAACTGTGCGTTAGCACTTCTTGGTTTGGGCCGTTGTTTTAATATCCTATCCTATATAAAAATCGGACATCGGTGTTAGAACGACTATAATTCTCWTATAGTGTACGGTATTATTTCCGTATTGAATGGTTCCACGATAATTCGGTATTACGGTAAACCTTTTAAGCGGTATTTAATTGATAACTCGATCGTACACTGACATGAGACGGTAAAGAATCGATACAACGTAACAAGAACTGTTGAAAATAATGCAATTAAATATCTATTTAACTTTAAGGCTTAAGGGTTTTTCAATTTCTTATGTTAGTTTTGACATTTACAAAAGTAATTTAAGTTTCYTCTGTTGATTTTCATTGTCATAAATATTTTAAGTAATATATATAATATAACGTATGATTACGATTTACATAACGATTYTAAAGTAAAATATTTATAAATATATTTGAGCCGATTCACCAATCACACAATTTGATGCATTTAATATTACTGTAAAAATATAAGTAATTTTGGTCTGTTTTWAAAATTAAGATAAATTATTCGAGAGCTAAGAGTTCCTTAAAATTGTTTGTCTAGACCAGAGTAATATTTTGTCTTAATATCTGATGATATACTATAATATGGTTTATGGATGTACGAAATAATATGCTATTTAAAATCAAATTTGTTATTGTARGTATTAATATAAACGCAAAACCATAATATATGAAAATTTAAATTTAACCTAATCGGAAAAATTAAAAACAGAAATATAATTTATTACATTCATTTCTAGCGGAAAACGCTGGAGAATATAAATTAAATATAAATAAAAAAGGCTACMAATTAGTGTGTCAAGTTAACAATAAAAATAAAAATCAACTTAACTCGTTAATGCCCAGGTATAAAATTATTACTACGGTGATTAGGGACGGTCTATATTTAGGCTGTACTATGAAGTTAATTTGTCGTTGGATGATACCTAGCTAAGCCAGCCAACCATATACTTTATTCTTGAGCTTAGTTTTATTCGATGAATGGATTCGTGCAACTGTTGTCGACTTAAAATAATATAAAATAATTAAACTCACGTTTACGGRCGATGTTGTTCATTTTAAGTTAGATTTAGTCACGCGTGAGTTATAAATGAAAAACGTGGGCGATAGTATAATAATCAAATAGAAAAGTGATATGTGTAGTACGGTAAACCAATTATTATTATTGCACCAAAAAATTTGAAGAATTTACTCTTGACCCGTTGTCGACATCACTGATATACGCCTAATAATAATTATAGTTAGTGACCCGTAATATCGAAAGAACATATGGCGTACTTTAAAATTATTGTGGACCAGATTTCAATATAAGCTTATTATTTTTGGGTGTTAAACATTCCAGGTACGTTATTCGTTTCACGTAACAGATAAAATTCGAAGGTGAAATTTTTATTTTATATATGTGAGTGATACGAATAATTTGTCTCGAAGAACGATAAACGTAGATTTTGATTAAGTCAACGATCAGTATAAAACGTACTTGGCATTGTTTACACGGYGTGACGTATATAGGTAAAATAGGTATACCCACATGCGTTGAAGAAAAACATTTTAGCATGTAAAATAGTTCGTTGAATATATAATAATATATTAATATAATTTTTTTCTTTTAAAAATATCGATTTTAAATGACGCTAAAGAACAAAAAAATCAAACGAAGTAAACCCGATTTTAAATCAATATTATCTGGCATATTTTAAATACCATACTCATAGTTATTGTTAACTATCAGCTATTTTATGTGTTTTCATCACAGCATTTATATTTTAAATTTTTAGAGAGTTAGAAGAGCTATGCGATGTAAGTTCAAAAACCGAACGAGCGGTGCGATTAAACGTGCTAATGAACGACCACTGGTTTGTGGAGGACTACATGGAGACCATGTCGGACACCTTTGGACCTGAATTGATATTCACAATAATGGACATTTACGTGCAGCTGTTGCTGTTCATGTACGTAATGATATGGGATACGGTTGTCCGTCGCGTGTTCAAGGACAACGCATATCCATATATTAGTGGCATAATCGAATCGAGCATTATTATAGGGAAATTTGCTTACCTATGCTATAGGTGCGACGCTTCCGTCAAAGAGGTAATTTTGGAGACATTTTTAAACGAGTATGATCATATTGTTTAATGTGACGGGTGTAGAAACCMTGTGCTTATAATAATTGTATTATGTTTCTTTTCTGTGGTATCATAGTTGTTGCAGAGCATAGATATTAAAGAATGGATAGCCCATTTATACTTATCATACGAGAACGAACATGRAAATAYATGTAGATGTCTTTTACAAATGTATAATTATATAATTATTGTATATAATTGATGATAAGACCTCTGCCAGAATGAGAGGCAATGATAAAAATCAGCCTTTCTCTCTTCCATATTCCAGCACACTTCCCTCTATTTTATTGATATAGCCATGGCTTATCCATTCTTTAATATYTCTGCTGCAGAGGCGGGAACCACAGTTATGTTATTTCCAGATCAATTGCATTAGCCTCGTTTATAAAATATATTATACACACACACACACACACACACACACATACACACATATATTATATATATATATATGATATCACAAATACTTAAATTAAAGACTTAAACAACTTAAAAAACTTAAACATATAAAAAAGCGGGGAAGTGGATATCGCTCTGCTGTACAGTAAGTTACAAGTGGGTTATTGTAATGGATGGAATTAAGTTTGAATCCAATGATATTATATCATTGTATAATGTATACGAAAAACGATTCCGAGCGGAGACGGTTTATCTGTCTAGAATATATTATTATAGATTATTAGGTATTACTTATTATTAGCACTTATTAAAATATTTGACTATCCGGTGGACATTTTTTTTTCGATAAGGGTAGACAAAGTTATAAGGAATCTTGAATTAAATTTTCAAACCTTAGATTTAAAAAAAAAAAATTGTTATGAATTTCTATCTAAGATAATTTGAACATTCCCGTAATTTTTACGTATTTTGCAAAAATTCAAACTGTGTATGCTTATAAAAAAAAAATTGTGACAGTGTATTTTATTTTTCAACTGCTATTGCAAAAATATGTTAAAAGCCTTTTATTAAATTTTCAAGCATTTCCACCAAACAAATAATTTTTTATTGATATTCATTTAAAAAAAAACTAATAATGATCGAAAATTGCATATACCTATATAAATAGTACAACTTAAATCGAAATGTTTTGAATTGAAAAATTTCATGGTGGATAGAATATACTTTTATAAACATTCGGTGTGAATTGCATGTATCTATGTTTTATGGTCATTTGTTTTAAAGTTACATCAAAAATTAAAATTGATTTTGCCAAATATTGATTATGCGATAAAATTCCCGTTCTTTCCTTAATTTTTAGTTTGTTATCCCAATCATTAAGAAAATTATTAGGAGCTCTTTACTTTTGATCCCCTAAAGTACAAACTAGATTTACTTTTTGATCTAACGAGGTACTGAAGTCAAAAATTGAAACACTTTTACTACCCCAAAACGTGACGACAGACACACATAAAAAAAAAAGCTCAAAAATGTATAAAATTTTCCAAATTTTAAACCATAAGAAACAAAATCCAAAATACAACAAAAAATATCTGTTGTCATTTTTCATTTGAATCACAGTTTCTGGTAAAAAACGTCGTCTGTAATTACTTAATTTATAAAATCGTGGAATTGTACGTTTTTTCTCCTTTAACCGCTTATTTTATTTCGAGTAGGTACCGTTTCGAAAATCGAAAAATTACCTCACTAAAGTACCAGCTCAAGAACATTACCTTTCAGAAAAGATGCTACACTTGATAATTTTGATCAAGTTTAGCGAGAATAAGTGTTTACAGCATAAAAAAGAGAAATAAAAAGAAATTAACATCATTGTAATATTACCAATACATTCCTCGTTCCGCTCAGAATCTAAAATAAATAAATTTTGTATGTTTTTATTTTTTAACATCAGCATAACATTATACATAAAATGTTCATGGTTAGAATTAAAAAAGTACATTGATGTGGATGTTTTATTAGCTAAGAATAAAATACATGAAAAAAAAGATACTGTACCATAATTCTTGCTATAGCGGATAATAACGATATTAATAGATTAATAGTTCTAGGAAAGTATGAGGGAATTCTGCAGATTACTATTGAATTCATTAAATATTGACGATTAATGTGACCATATCTTAATCGACTTCAAGTAAATAAAATATCCAGAACATTGTCTCTCAATYGATAACTATTGGGTACTGAATATTTTTATGAAGGAGATTCTSGATAATATAAATTTATTTTTGATAGATCCAATTATTTTTAAAAATGTTATTGTAATAACTCGATTTGTTTTAAATACGTAGATCAGTTTTAAGACCGAACTATGGATACAAAATCCATGGTTAAATAACACCTATAATTCATAACGCTTAGTCTACGAGTACAATATTATAATAATAATAAATATTTAATAATACATTTATGTGTTGTGTTATGAATTTATGATGCTATATTGTTGTAGAATGCTGTAGTAGGTAAATCACAAAATTAAAAATTATAATATGGTGAAACTCATCTGATTTTCTATTTAAATAAAATAATTTATAAGGCACTGGCTATTATAATAATATAYATTATAAAGAAAAAAGAATCGTGCGGGTTTCAATAGCTGCAGAACTTCGAATACGCTTTCCCCGGGGTCAACTAGATGGATTTGTGAATTGTTTTGCCCTTTTTACTCGAGTTGGATATAATTCTATACAGGATTACCGAAAGTTGTTTTGTGATCCTGCTTAATATTTAATTCTGCATAAAACAAGATACTATACAGCTCGATGGTTTGTTATTTCAAAGTACCTATCCCATTCGAAAGAATACGGCAACGTAACGATATGTTGAAAAAAGAAACCTTTGCTCGTATAGATTATAGGAATTTGTTTACGGTTTTAAATAATATCTTAGTCATGTAAACATGTAAATATATTGCAATATATATTTTACGATTCAATTAGGGCTTAGAAAAAAAAAATGAATTAATGAATACCAAAATCAAGTTTCAGAACTTATAGGACATCGGACACGAAAATCCTGTATACTACCTATATGAATTGTTACACGAGTTGTGAATGYATAATACAGTGAAACATCCCAAAATAGACCCTGACTTTAAATTTCAAACATTTACAAATAGCTGAATTTTAATTTTTTTTTAGAAAAAACTACAATCTAAACTCCTTGAATAATTCAAATGCCTCCGAATAACGGACAAAATTTTCACGACTGATTGAGTCCGGTGTTTAGATAACGTTTCACTGTATTATATGTTATTTATGTATATGTATTTTTGAATACGACATAAACAGTAATATATAATAAATAGTAAATAATAAATAATAATACATTATGCGTGTACTATTGAAATTGATTTTCAGAGCAAAAAGATAATTTTTCACCTACAACACTTGTCCTCGAAGGTGTCAAATGATTTGAATTCTCAAACCATTGTTAGTATACAGTCATATTATTACTATTATTATTATTATTATTATTGTGTAAATATTTTATGAATTCATACATAACGTGTGGTTGTTATTTTGTATAACATGTTAAAATACGTATATAGGTAATATTATTATAATTCAATAGTAATGCCCAATAAGTTACAATAATAATGCAGTCGCGAAAACTTACAATGGTCACCGGGTTTGCAGTCTTTGCACAAAGTTATGCGGATTGATCTATAAAATTGTATCATAATAAATTATTTCAACAATGATGAGCGACGACACTCTGACAGAAACGGTTTTCATTGACAATTCGAAAGTAAAAATAAAAATACTATATTGTTATACGCATACTTATAAATAGTTATAATGTAACCAATTCTTTTTATATCAATCAAAACCAATGCGGCTATTTTATGTGATTTAATATAAAATAAATTTAATCAATAATAACCGCGRGACTATTACTGTACATTTCTCACTGTCATAATGTAACATACGTAGGTGATTAAAATTAATACTAGCGGAAACAATGAATGTAATAATATAATATATTATTTTTATATTTGTGCACTCTCTCTTGTTTGAAAAGGAATAGATTTCGTTCAATACGTTTGTTTCACGCGTTTTCACTCGTTCTGAAGTAGTAGCGGTAGTTGTTTTTTTACTGCAGTTTATTGTCGATTTTAATGACGCCGTTAATCCTTTTAAATACGTGGATGTTTTTATCATACAATAATGTAGATTATTGAGTCTGAATCACGCCGGGTTATCATTTTAACAATGTAACGACTCGCGAATAATAATCGGCGAATCCCTTTCATACCGTTCTCGGTTAAGTTAATTGTGACAGCACTACAGAGTTTAAAATAATAATATAATTACAACTACCTACAATAGATATTTTTGTTTATTTTATTTATTTTTTGTTCCGAAACAGTATTTAGACGTGCTTACAGTTATATTATGATTGATTGGGAAAAAGTATTTTMTTGTTTGAATAAAATATAATATCTATAATATCAGCTATGTACGATATGATATTATGATCTAGTTTATGTAAAACATTTATTATTTCATTTTTTTTTTTACTTTTTCGAATGACAAAATATGTTTTWAATTTCATAGTCCAAAGAGGAGTATTATTTATCTATATACCTATATAAATTGATTTTCAGACAAGTAGTTTATTAGTAATGTTATAAGTATTTAAAGTTTAGATTGGCAGAGTAGTAATGGACCAGCATTGTTCGGAAACCCCTGTACCACTCTACTTCAGAATCTAAGCCTAATCTAATTAGTCAACAAAGTGAGGTGCACTAACCTCAATRTTCCYGTGAACTGAGGTACACTGAGACTAAAATACACCAATTTAGCACAGCATTTTATTTATTTGAAAATTATTTTCTCGGCTAAATAGGGTTATAGAGCTAGTATATTATTAATAGTTGATTGAAGTATAGTGGAATAGAATATTCCTTTTATTCGATCGTATACTTGTCACACAATCTCTGTGCGTTTACAAATTATATTCCCTTGAGATTTACAATTAGACAATGGCTTCATATAAAAATAAAAACGTAATGTTCATATATTATTTACAAAAATTAATTCTTAAATTATATTCTTCAGTTTTTTTTTTTAAATATTAACACATTTTTGGAACATATTTACGTCTATTGTTTTTTTGACCGATTTTTCGTAAGGTTTTCGTTGTCATGATTACTTATTAACAAAATAAATACTATTTATGATTCTTAGATTTTCATTGTAGAGAAAAAATATCGAATACCTAATTTAATTTTTTCTCATTGCACGTATTTTATAGAAATATATATTAATTCATCTTTAGATCACTAGATGTAATTATTTTTGTCTATTAAATACTACCAATAATATTTTCTTTAGGCATTTCCCCCCTTGMTTTATTACTTTTATTTATTTTTCATTCAAAAGTAAATTCATCATCCTAAGTAAATTTGACTTTATCTTTATAAGTTATGGAACCCTTCATTATAAATCTTTATTTCCAACTTTAAATTTATTTATAATTTAAACCAGTCGTTTTTAGTTTCATAATTATACCTCTATATTTATAACCAATTAAAATGTTATCCTTAAAAAACTTTTCCTTTCATTCATGATTGAATCACCTTTATTTTCATATTCTAATATATTAACTAATTTTGTTTTATTTAATATTCTCAAAATATTCATTAACTCACTGATTTTACACCCACGAACCTTTCTAGTCTGTGGATATTAGTTTTTGAACTAGAACAATAAAAAAAATTGATTTTTTTTCTATTTTTTRATATCTCTATGTGAAATTCTAAAACAATTTTCTACCAGAAATTTTTCTCGATGATGGGATAATTTTTCTGTCTATCTCATTGTAAAACCAATATACTCTAGGCTCCGCTTAAAATGTAATCCCTGGAACAATGTCACCATATTCTACTGTTTTATTTTATTAYATTTAATAGAATTTGGTAAGTAGACTGATTGGTAGTTATGTGTAGTCTACTAAGCTTAGGTTTTTTAATACCAATAGTTGTCGGCTTGGATGAAACGGTGGTTAGAACGAATTGCATCTTTGGAATTGATTAAAGGAATACAAAGGATTTGGAAAAAGTTTCTAACACTTCCTTAATTTATCGAAGTTATTAATGGTGGTCTTTTTTTAAATATATACATTTTTATTTTAATTTTATGTAGAATGCAAGATTCGGATTACGGTATTAGTAAATAGTGGGACGTGATTTAAATAAGCTTAACTGATATTAAACGATATAAATATCGATTATACGTATTTTACTCGTGTACCATAGTCCATAATAGAAATAATATATAGGTATTGAAAGTTCTTTAAAGAAACTATTTAAAACTTAAATAAGCAAATTTTTTTTGGACGTATACATAGTCATTTTATAGAGTACTGCAGAATCATCCTAGCAGCTTTTACGATGTGATTGGTGGCAAAGTTTATAAAATTAACATTCATAAAACAGGGCAACAGTTGTTGCTGCTTGCTTGTATATTACGCATATTATACAACTTATTAACGCCCTTCGTCGTTATTAACTACATTTGAATTTTAATCTTAAAATTGTATGTTAATTAGGACATATTGTTTTATTTGACACATTTTTCTTTTGTTGATATTTATTGTTTGCCTTGAAATTGGTATTATAATTAATTGCCTTCATTATGCCTTAATTTACCACATATATGTCTGATAGCATTATGATCAGTTAGGTTGTCTTTGACTAACCATCAATGATGATTACGATCTTGGTGTTTCATAATTGTGAGTTTTTTGCGTTGTTTGAATAATAATGGTAATATTCAACAATAATTATTAAAAATTGTCGTATGTACTATTTTAATTTGTTTATCTTGGATGTAACATAGAAAATGTATGGAGTTAAAACAATTTAATATTACATCAAGTTAGTTATAATACTACCGGAACTTTCAAACGATTATTTTTCATTTCAAAGACATTACCTTCAATAGAAAATAAAATATTAACAAAACGTGTCATGTACAGTTAGGTACTTTATGATAACAAACAAAAGGCTCTGTCGATATCAAATAAATATTTTCTGTTTTGAGATTTTTTTTAACTTCAGTTAATATTATAGTATTGACAGTAAAAAGATGTGTTGGCCTGCAGGGTTTCACAAAATATTCCACTACTTTTTGGGTAGCTTAGTAGGTTTTTGATGACATTTTCTACACACATGATAAACGGTTATAACAATTATAATAATGCGTATAGATAACTGCATTAATTGTTCAAAGTTCATAATAAGATTATTGCACTATATAGCAGGGGTCATCAACCTTTTACAACAAGTGATTAACTCATTAAAAATTGTACGTACCCGCAGTGATCGATTTATTTAGGTAGCTTTATTATTTATATTATTACATATGCATCATAATAACAAATTATGTATCTAATAATTTTCTCCTCTTATTATTTCATTATCAGAAAATTTTATGTTTTTTATCGAAAATAAATACTCAGTTTGTATATAATACTTAAAAATTTTAAAAGATTACGTACATGATTAACTTATATTGCAGTGATTAATCTATAATACGATCAGACTATATTCCTCTAAAGGTCGACCAGTCAATCCTGCTATGTTGTATAATTGTCTGATATAGTATTTTATTAGAAGTTCTTGAATTAATTAGACTTGTGAGTTGTGACCACGGTTTTAGATAGAACGGTTAAGCGACGAGGTCTGATATTTCGGCGGTAGAGTTTCTTATCTTATCAAAAATATGAAAAACTCACTGCCCCGTGGCGCGATCTCGGATCTACTAAATTACCACGATACTATTAATATTCTTTAAATGTATTAAATAATAATAATTAATTATTATTATATAGTACCTACTTCATAATACTTTATGATTGAAAACGTAGAAGAACTTTACAATGTATTTTTTTTTAACAAATGNCACTACTTTTTGGGTAGCTTAGTAGGTTTTTGATGACATTTTCTACACACATGATAAACGGTTATAACAATTATAATAATGCGTATAGATAACTGCATTAATTGTTCAAAGTTCATAATAAGATTATTGCACTATATAGCAGGGGTCATCAACCTTTTACAACAAGTGATGAACTACATTAAAAATTGTACGTACCCGCAGTGATCGATTTATTTAGGTAGCTTTATTATTTATATTATTACATATGCATCATAATAACAAATTATGTATCTAATAATTTTCTCCTCTTATTATTTCATTATCAGAAAATTTTATGTTTTTTATCGAAAATAAATACTCAGTTTGTATATAATACTTAAAAATTTTAAAAGATTACGTACATGATTAACTTATATTGCAGTGATTAATCTATAATACGATCAGACTATATTCCTCTAAAGGTCGACCAGTCAATCCTGCTATGTTGTATAATTGTCTGATATAGTATTTTATTAGAAGTTCTTGAATTAATTAGACTTGTGAGTTGTGACCACGGTTTTAGATAGAACGGTTAAGCGATGAGGTCTGATATTTCGGCGGTAGAGTTTCTTATCAAAAATATGAAAAACTCACTGCCCCGTGGCGCGATCTCGGATCTACTAAATTACCACGATACTATTAATATTCTTTAAATGTATTAAATAATAATAATTAATTATTATTATATAGTACCTACTTCATAATACTTTATGATTGAAAACGTAGAAGAACTTTACAATGTATTTTTTTTTAACAAATGTCAATTTTATATTGGCATTTAAATTTAATAGCTTTCCAATCTAATACCAGCAGTTGCATCCTTTATCGCTGTTTATGTGTATGAGTGTATGACTATTGCTATATACTGTAGTATATTAACAGTCATACAGAATAAAATTCTATTTATTATTTTCTATTTTGTGGTATGGTTAAATAGTAAATAGTAAAATGCCGTCTGGGATTATTGTTTTTGGTGCTAACATTTAGTGATAGCCCATGTTGGCACTGGGAGCGCTAGTATCCAGTGAGTAAAAACATTTATTTGATAAGAAACTTTTCCGCCGTAATGTACCGTGGGATTGTATGAATCGTCGCTCAACCATCAACCATTCTATCTTAAACTGTGCTTGTGACTCATTAATTATTATTATTATTATTATTGACTGTTAAAACTAAAAAGCATATTAATAAATCAATAAACCATTAGTAGTTAGTTTTTATCAGTTGATTTACTATTATTATAATTATGTTAATTTCATAATATTATGCTTCATACAAATTATAAAAATTCATTATTGTATACATTCTATTATTATTATTATTATTATTGAAGTGTTTATTTTTATAAATTACGAGTATTAAAAGTATATCGTAATAAAATTCATCCGAAGGTCACTGATTCAGTCAATGCTATCTTCAAACAACATAATATATGGCGTTGATATTTGAACCGTTATTGTTTGTTTATTACAGTTAAGGTTATTTACGCTTCGCGTTAACAGTCGTGCAGTACAAGTCACGGCTTCCGGATTTTTCGACATAAATCTATCACTTTTGTTTGCGGTAAGACGTTTGGATTTTAAATAAATTCTAATTAGTTGACAATTATTATTGCTATTGAATTCTCTTGGAATTGTTTTTGACGGCCAATGCGATTTTATTAAATCCGTGATGCCAYCTTAAGAAGTATAATGCTACAGTGACCGATACATATTTGTATATTATTTTAAATTACGTCGTTTATATATTTTATAACACGGTCATACGGAATAATGTATTGGGAAATGAAATAAAACACTTATTTTTATTTTTTATCGACTGTCAATTACAATAATCATAAGCCATTGTTTATTGTTTTTTCAGACTGCTGGCGTTGTGTTGATATACTTTTTGGTATTGGTACAATTTCAAATGGAAGGCTACAAACAGATTTTAGGATCGAACTCTAGTGAGGCGGTTGTAGCAGTGGTTTGTCATTCATGGCCTTGTCTTGAGAGGGATGATTAATAATTATTGTAWTWWWTTGAAATAACTACCATATCCATATAATACCCCTACAATTCAAGCATTGGGTTCACAATATTTAACGTATTGCATAATATAAATCTAAATACAATTGCTTTTTATTTCTGAAAATGGATTGTTTACTAAAATACAGTTAAATAAAAAACGTATCATATTTATTTATATYCTGTTTCTATGATATGATTATTAAATAATATAATAATTTTCAAGTTTCTAATGCATACTTTGTTTCCGAGGTGTTATAGGTTATAGCATTGTATAATTTCATAAATTATAGTTTTCCATAAACAAATTTTATAGTATTCGTTGTCACGCAAAAAAAAGGAAAAAGAAATATATAATTTTTTTTCAGTCAAAATATTCTGATTATTTTTGTAATTAGATCACTTTTATTATTTTTGTAATATTCAAATATTATTTGTTAAATAAAAACTCACTGTGTTATAATGCGTCAAGTAATAGTTGTATTTCGACYGAATCTATATTAGTTATTATATTGAGTTAATCTGTAGAAATTGTGGCCGTAGAGCGCAATGACGGTTGACAAATCGGTCAGATTACAATATTTGCCGTGTATATTGATACAAAGCAAATCCTAAATCCGCTAAAATGTTCTCTTCTAGACGTTTAAAGGAAATTAATTACCGGACGACTATCACAATTGCAGGCTTATTGGGAGGCGAAAAAACGTCGTAAATCCGAATGTCGCGCCGCATTCCGCGCGTTAGTATAAAAATCACACTGTGTCAATGTATCCGATGTACATGTATATAATATGTTAAAATTCAACTGTTTGACTGTCGAATTCCCGCGCCCATGCATTTTATTTAAATTACGTTCGATTGAATTATTATTTGAATTTCRTGATCGGTATGTATTAAAAACAAAAAGGTGCGTGAGAAAAAAAAATTCGATCGATAATAATAATAAATTGACAATTTAATGAATATGATTTTACTGCGTACGTATACAGTATACATACATATAATAATATAATATTATTATATAACTGCCTTTACAGGGTGATTCACCAAGCGTGCTCGACCCAATATTTCCTTTTATAATGAATCTATTCAAATTCTTCAGATTTTCAGAACTTTAAAGTATAYGTCTTTAGAAGCTAATTTTCAATTATTTATAGATTTTTATACCATTTAACGAGACGTGTTCTGTGACGATACAAACTTTTTATTCTCCAAATAGAATCACTCCATTTCCACATAAATCATTAATCAGATGACTTTTGGAAATATTGATTAATCTAAATGAAATTCTAATCAGTAGTTTTTGAGTTATTTAACTTTGAGACTTGACTRCTATAAAGATAATAGGTCGACGATAATGCGTTTGGATGATATAGGGGGTATAAAGATTTGAAAACTTGAATAATTAATATTAATCCATCAACATTTTATAATTTATAAAAACGTCTGAAGATAATAAATACTAGATTCAATATTATATCTGTCTAATATTTTTGTGTAACAATATTTTAAAGGACTATAATATAATCATTACTGTTTATGTTATGTTTATAAATCAGAAACTAATCGATCGAATATTGACTTGTATACATCGAAATCTTTGAAAAATCATCTATCAAACTATTTTCAATAAAAAGGTTAGTTTCTATTTTTTTTTTAAAGTTTGCATTACCACAATACATTTTTTAAATGGCATAATAAATCTAAGCGCATATTTTAAAATTATAAAAATCTAAATTTGAATTATTTCATTATTAGAGAAAAAAAATAAWGGATTATATGAGTTAGCTTGCTATTGGTAAATTACCAATAGAAAATCATGGCTATATATATTATATATACACTTGAAACGGATATTCACGCACTACATAGGTACCTATTATACGTATAATCATATTAATATAATACACGAGAGACGGTGTGCGTATACTGTATAGTATAATGAATGCGATTAATTTTGTTTTGAAAATAAAAATATGTCGTATAAACAATTCTGAGGGGAAATGAAACTGTGTAGGTATATATTTTCGTTGAATACCTCTACCTATCACGTACATACCGACACACAGTTTTTCATCCCGTCGCAAACAATAATAATATATATAATTTGTGCGTAAAACACGCTTCGGAACAAGTTTCGATCATTTCGTTATTGCTGGACGTCGTAAAACACGTACCGATGTGAACCCGATCGCTATTGCTGACCGAATGAACATTTATTATATTATATTATATGCGCGAAAATATTATTGAGGACTCGGTGGGTGACGCTTCACAAACGGACAATATTTTGGGTTCAATTTGTTGTGTGTAGTCACTCGAATTTGCAGTTTCAACACTTTATATAATATATTATTGTTGTTGTTATACTATATCTGAATACATCTCGTTTTCACGAAATTGTTGGCGTTCATTGGTAACAATTAAATCCTTAAAAACTATCGGCAACAAAATCTATCACACCATGTCGATTATACAGGGTGATTCATCAATCATGTTCACCCTCYATTTTCTTTTTAAAATTTTTAAATATACCTACTTAAGACCATATTTTCAGATTCTTAAAAATGTTTGTACTTCTTGAGGAGTGTCTTTTAAAGATATAATCTTCTATTTTTCAAATAAAAAATGCCCTTTTTAACTATAAATTATTCAGTAGAACATTTTGCTAAAAGATTTGACGGATCGGGATTAAGATTCCTACAAATTGAGCATGTTTGATGAATCACACGATTATTCTGATTTAAAAATACATGAAAGTCGTATTTTAAGTTAAAAACGAGCATYGCTTAAGTATGAAATACTTTTCAAAGTACCTACATTGAAATTACAATCCTATAATGATCATTGGGTTATAAATTATAATCATATATTCGGAGTTGACTATTATAATTATATACCTATACAGTTATTCGGCATAGGTCCGTTGGTGAATTGCCTGTCTCCAGACATTTTTTTAACCAGAGGAAACGCCTGGACACCTGGTAATACAGCTATACTTTATAAATAAATCCTTGATATATATTAAATATATATGTTACAGTTGAATTGTTAAATCAGTTACTTTATGAAATAACTGGGTAATTTATAAAACAACTAAAACATGTAGGTAGGAAATGTATATAATTTATACTTTAACTAGTTTAATCAAGTACATTCCCTGGTATCACTTCGATGATGTGTCAAATTGTATACAAAACATAATGTACAATATCGTTATTTTAGTGTCCATCATGGTTTTCGCATATCATAGTCATGATTTAATACTTTAACTAATATTCGTAGGTAATTTATGAACTATCAAGTTATTTCATAAATTAATGGAATTCAACACTTTAACTGTAAAATATACTTAAGGTTTTTCATTTTAAAAATCAAAGTTAAGATTATGCTGATATAAAATGTGTAAACATTATCTTAGTTGTGAGGCGTGCACGGTGAAACTACTGTGAAACGATAATCAACTGTCATAGACACACTAAACGGCGCGAGTATAGTCAACGACACAATACYGGGTGATGTGTAGAAGTGAGCAATGCGTTCGATCGAACAGTTGAACCGKAAACAAAACYCGAACTGCGCAAAACAACAATGTGGTCGGAAAAGAAGTTGCGTGGTTCTTACTTTTTTTTCCGAGGCAAATAATAGTGGCATAGTGGTCACAGCCTCACGCCCTTAGCTGAAGTCGTCCAGACAAAATGGCGTCATGATGCGTAAATACGTGACAGGTTACGTTGTTCGATGTTCGGTGGTTAGACACTTACTTGCTATCTTCACTACCCGCCGTCAATATGCAGAGCGAAAACCATCTAGAGAGTATCACTAGCACGAGTAAACGAGTAATGAGTATCAGTTTCGCGGTACCATATTATGATCTGTGTTTTGTTATTTTGTTTTTTTTTTTTGTTATCATCACCGCCACTGCTGTGGTCACTGGTCGCATAAAACACGGACGTGCCAGTCGGCGGATATCATCTCTCTCGAAGCTGCGTCATCATGGCGCCTTTTTTGATACGTCCATCTGCCGGAACAGTCGGTGATAATATTTTACAATGGTTACATATGACCAGTGGCCCACAACTGATTATATCAAAATATCTGTTCCAACTATGTCACCCCGTAAACGCAGTTGTTTATTGTGTACTGTCTTGTTCATTGTTTCTTAACGTGTTTTACTTACATTTTATAATTTCATTAAACATTAAAAACATTAATTACTTACAAGGCCATTTTGAACTACGTTTAAAAATTAATCATTTTAAATATTTGATCGAATCTTTTTGAGCCACGCGTTTATAAAATTACTGTTTGGTGTAGCTGYTGACGCACGTCGGCCACGTCGCATTCTTTTTATAATTATAATAATAGCTATTATAAAACTAATCATTCAAAAAATGTATATATAATATTATAAATTATTTATAAATTATTATAGAATAATATAGTTAAATAAATATTTCGAATATGATATAAAATATAGGTGGGTAATAATAATCAATAATACATCTATACTCGCAGTTAATTTTTAACTGTTAAAAAAATTGTATGTAAAATATTTTGATATACAGTATGTCCCAAAAGTCCCGTATAACCCTTAATATCTCTATGTAAAATCGATATATTTAAACGTGGTTTTTTTTACAGTACTAAGTATGAAAATTCTGATTGAATGGCATACATTTTTTTTTTTTAATTCAAAAATTTTCAAACAATTTTTTTATACATTTAATTTTTTTTTATGCATTTAAGAATTTTAAATTTTTAAGATAGCCATTTTGTTGAACATATTTTTTAAAATAGTTCAAAAAAAAAAAACAAATATTAAAATTGAATAAAAATTACATTTTTTTTTTTTATAAATGTTCGAAATGACCTCCATTATTTGCGACACAGAGTTAAAGTTTTTGGACCCAAGCGTTTTTAACATTTTCTAATGTCTCAGGTAAGATATTTTGAATATTTTGTTCAATTTTATGACGGAGATCAGGCAATGTACGTGAYGGATAGACAAGATTTTTCAAAT